ACCATTACAGTTTCATGAAGTAATAACGAATATTAGTTTCAAGCCAACGGATATCTACATGAAACGCTTATTTAAACATAGTAGATAATTGATTACTCGAAATAAAATTCACATTTTTTTTCTTCAATTTTATCAGTAAAGTGCTTTAAATAATTCATTCCTTCTAAACTATATTTATTTTAAAAAAAAATGCAAGACTGTCATTAAGAAAATGCGGTAAAAATGTCTTCCTTCAGAATAAGTAACCGAATTTTCCTAAAGATTCTTTTATTTGTCTTCAATATATTTGGACTTTCAACTGTTACCATTAAAACTGATAAGAAAATCGGAAGCAAATTTAAAGAAGAAATGCATTTTGTGAACTCAGGTATAGCTCGCGTTTATAATTTAGCGTATATTTTAATTATCTGTCTAGGAAATGGTTACGTGGTTATCCAACTTTACACCGAAAGATACAAAAAGGTGGTGAATTTATTTATCATCGCTGACGTTTGTGAGCTATTAATTGGGACAATTATTGTGACAGTGATACTAGTACGCCAAAGACTCCACCACAAAGAAGCAATTGATCTGTTGACAAAACTTTACGAATTAAACAAGTTATTTATACATCGGTTTAAAAATGATCAAAAAATGGTGAATGTGTGCTTGCGCATTTCATTTCTCTTAGTTTTTTTTACACTCATTGATGTAGTTTTATTTGTGACGGGCATACTGTATTATAACACACTGGCATACTTGTTTAGTAATATGACTAGGAACTCAATAATTGTTATGTTTCTCATCCAATACACATCGGTACTAATAGTAATTTCTCACTTGGTTGAAAACTTGAACGAAGTGCTTTTTACCTTGACCGAAACAGTTACAGTGGATAATGGAATTAAAATAGGAGTTAGAGGTGGAGTGTTAATAAACGTGAAAAAGCTTCGGCTGTTGTCAACAATACGGGACTTGCATGCTTCTGTTTTGGAAGTTTGCCAAGAAGTAAATGGATTCTTTGAATTTTCGGTTTTGTTCTGCATAGGCACCTTGTTTATTTCTGCAGTTATATACTCATACTTTTTGGTTCATCTCTTCATAGGAAAAATACTTATTTTCACAATTGCAGAATATGTCCACATTTTTTTATACCTTACAGGATTAATTTGCTTTTCTACAGTTCTTTCAAGATATGTGACTAAAATAGTACGAGAGGTACGTTTTTACTAGGCTCCACCA